GGGGCTGTCGGGCGCGCCATGGCCCGCAAGAAGCTGCACCGGCCCATCGCCGCCATGGCGAAGAAGATCCGTGAGTACCGGGCGCTGAAGAACCGACCGCGGGACTCGCAGCGCTTCGCCCTGGACTATGAGACCATGCGGCGGCCCCTGACGCAGAAGCGGCTGGCGGGGGGGGGGTCGGGGGGGGTGCGGGGGCAGGACGCCCGCCCGCTGCGGGGGCGCTGGGCCCAGGCCCGCTGCCCGCCACCTCCCTGCCTCCCCCTCAACAGGTTGTTTTCTTTGCAGAACATGGATCACGGAAGGGCTTGGGGCTACCTGACCTTCAGAGGTAAAACCGGTTTGTTTGCCCACCAAGAGCTTTGGAGAGCGTAGAGACACAGTGTATGGGAGGGTGGGAGAGCTGAGGGAAAACCGCGGCCTTCCTGCTTAGGAAGTTTGTTTTTATCAGATCTGCTAATCAGAAAATAAGTCTTCCATGGTTTTGTTTCAAACGCTGCAACGCAGCCCTCACAGAGGGTGTCCTGAGGATGGTTGTGGAAGAGGCCGTGCAGGGTAACCTGGGGAAGGGCAACGCCCTGGCAGGGGGTTAGATGAGGTGGCTGGTCTGAAGCTGAGAAAGCAAGGAAATGAACACGAGCGGGTATTGCCGGTGAAATCCTCAGTAAAACAGGAGTGATGGCAAGTAAACTTACATTACTGTGATTTTTAAATTAATGCTCAGAGTTGAGTGAGTGAAATTCCCTTTTTAATAGCTGCTTTATATTAGGCATATGATTGTCACTTACTAGAGTTTCTGAAACATTTCTCATTTCAAGGCTTTAAAGTTCTTGAGTATTTTTAACGGTAAATTTCCCAGGGAACTCTCATCAGTGTAGGGAGATATTACTGTTGTTCCTTAGCCACAGAAACTGAACCAGAGAGGGATGAATGACATTTTAAATTAAGATAATTGAAATTACTTGCCTGCAGTCCTTTGGCGTGTTTCTGTCTTGATTTCCAAGGACAGAAGTAGGATCCCATAATTCAGCAGGGAAGATACGGACCAATCCTTTCAAAACTTCCTTTATTGCCTGTGGTAGCATCTTTGATGCCAGAGAGTTGGCACTTGCTGCACTTCCTGGAGAAAGTTTGTTGTTGATAGTGTTGTCCACTGGTGTCTGTCACGTTTTCGCAGGCAAAGCTGAAGAAGAAGAGAGAGAGATCGACAAAGTCATGTACCATGACTGGCGTATGGTTCCCAAGCATGAGGAGGAGGCCTTCAAGGAATTCACTCCAGTGCCAGAGGAGACCATTCGGTTCCTTCCATACCCACCTCTGCTTCGTGCCATGATCCTTGCACAGTGGCAGAAAGAGGGAAAACCAATCAAAGAGGAGCCAATGATTGATCTGGAGAAGGTCATGTCCTCTCTGTGTCCCAGTGCAAAGAAAAAAGCTACAGGGACACCAGTATAAAGACTTGTTCTATGTCCTGAGCTTCCCACATGCTCTCACTGTGTGTTAGAAGAGTGTCATCTTACAGAAGACCTCCTTGGGTGTGTATCCAGGTTTCCAGCTTTCTCCCCAGCCCTGTACAGTCACCTTATCTGAAAGGAAAGATGGAAATGCATTTGCTTTTTTTTTTTTTTATAACTGATCTCAATTAGCAGGGGAAGCTTCTTGGGTCCCTCTGTAGTCTCTGAATGGCTCCTGCCATCCAGGTACAGTTCATTGAAGCATGATGTCCTTTTCAGCCTGAAAATTGGCTTTTTAAGAACATTTTTGCAGATAATTTGAATAAATGACTGAGAACATCACATTATTTCAGAGAGTTGTGTACTGCTAACAAAAATAAATGTTTTCTTATGTCTGCAGCACAGTTCTAAGAAAACGGTAATTTTTTTTGAGTGTATTGAGATCATCATGAGGTCCAAATGCAGAGCCATTAGGTACCAAATGGAGGCATCGCCACTGGATTCCTTTTAAGCACTGCAGAATCATCTGGTTTATTTACCTATGATGGCCATGAACAACATAGGAGGAACACACTTATCTTTGGATACTTAAGCCTATCCAAAGCTATCCATTTATTATTCCCAGAGGCAGCTGTCAGGAGAAATAATTTTAATTCTGGTGGTGCAAACTATACAGGATTGGCTCTTACTAATTGAAGCCAAACCAATCACCTCTTCCAGTGCAACACGTTGTAGTGAACATTACAAAAATACAACTCCTTAGCACAGGTCTGAGCATTTCATGATCTCTGGCAGCAGCTGTGAATTCTGCTGCTGTGTCAGGAGCATTTGGAGGGTCTAGTCTGAATGTGGGTGGAAGGGCACACAGGCCCTTCTGCTTCATAACCCTACATATCAGTCCCCTTCTGGAGCAGCAGTTTAGTTCTTTCGTCTTTTAGTTTTAGTTTTAGCAATTTTAGTTCTTTTGTAGTAGGTAGTGGAGGTGCTGTGCCACTTCATGCAGCATCCTGAAATCACAAGTAACCTGAAGGGATTAACTGAGGGAAAGCAACAACTGGACTCTGCCCTGCCCAGTGTGTGGGGCAGACCCAGATGGGACCCAGGAACACACGGCACCAGCCAGGAAAAAGGCTGTCATCAGGCAGGAGTGAAGGGATCCATGCTGGCTACCTGGATTTCATGGCACTCCTTACCAGAGGCTCCTGCAGGGTAAGAGGGAAAGCTTTTCTCATGAGTAAAAAGCTGGTCCTACAACAAGGCACAGAGGCTGGGAAGAGCTTGATTTTGTTTTTGTTTTGACCCTTTGTTGTGGTAGAAGCATGGCAGGACACACACCAGGGCTGGGTCACGCGCCTCAGAGGCAGTGGGAGAATCTTGGGGCAGGAGAATCCCAGTGTTGCTGAAGGCACAAAGAGTCTGAGACTGTGAAACCTCCCACTGCAGCTGATGGTAAACAGCATCTCAGGTTTCCACAGCCTCAACTGCCAGGTGCTGGGCTGAGCTGGTGCCTTCCTGTCCTCACTACTGAACCAGCACACAAACCCTGGGCCAGGTGGAGCAAGACCTCACCTGAGTGAGTTTGATAGGGTGAATAGAACAATCCTAGTCCTCTGTCATGCACAGCCAGAAGCTGAACACAACACCAGCACAGGCAGTGCCCTTCCTGATGGGATGCAGACTCACAGTCTGACCACAGTGAACAGGTACTGCAAATAGAGTTCACCAATAGCCCCAGGCAAGGCAAGAAATAACTCACAACCAGCATCCATCAAGGGAGCCAGCCAGAAGCAAAAGCAGATGGAGATAGGGCCATGAGTTGGAACAGACCTTTGAAGATCATCTAGTCTAAAACCCCAAGTTCAAGGGGATCCACCTAGGAGCAGCTGGAGATAGGTACAACTACAGCATAGCTCAGGCACAGACAGAAGGCACAACCTGGTGCTCAAATGAGGCTCCTGGGCCATGGGTGGAAAGGGCCAGTGTACGGGTGGGGCCCAGGTGGGGCTGATCAGGACAATCATGGCGTGCTGGTGGCCTCAGGGCCTTAACACTTGGGGGCAGGGGGGTAGGTGTCTTCGCATAGCACCCTGGGCAGCCCAAGAGCATTGTCCAACTGTGAAAGTCCCCTACAGAAAAGCTGCAGAGCCGTGTTTTGCCATGTGCTGGATTCAATGCCTAGGACACACTGGGAGCTCTCCCAGGACTCAAACCTGTGCATTAACTTCCTGGCTTGTTCAACAGTAAGGGGATGGTTGTCTGAGGCCCTTCCCCAGCGACCCAGGTGGGCACCGGACATGGCTGCCCTTCACTCTCCACCTTGCGCAGACTGCTCCTGGCTGCATCAACAGGAGTCCCAGGGGTTCAAGCTGAATCCCAGAGCCTGTTTCCAAACCTCACTGTTGAGGTGCCTCTAGTAACCCAGGAGGCCTTGCCTGTTCTACCTCAGCCTGGCCTGCACAAGACTGCCATGCAGTTGTTGGTCACAGAGCTGCTCGGGGCAGAAGCTGCTCCTGGCGTAAAGAGGTGGCTCCCTTGTCTACTCTTGCTGTGTACAGCCCTTGAAATTAAATGCAGTTCTGCAAATAAGAACATGTCGAACTGCTGCTGGGACTAAGAGGAACTCCCTTCCTGTGATGCTGAATGTCACCTATTCCTATAGGAGTTGGTGAAGTATTGACAGCAGACATTAGCTGCTGTATTGATAGCAGACATTAGCAAACTGCTGGTTGAGCTGACTTGTTAACCCTGGCAGCTCCCCTGCAGGGCACTCCATGAGGACAACTGCAGCTGACCAGCAGCTGTAGTTATCCTTTCCACCTTTTATTTTTGACACCAGGAGAAACTGCAACTGGCTTGTAGGACCAGCCCCTCCTGCTCTGACCCAGTGAGCAATCCACATCTCATTTCTTGCCATGAAACTGCTCAAAGGTGCACACTTGAGCTGCCATTCTCACCCTTTTAAGTGTCTTGTTGAAGACTTAGCAGAAATCCCAGTGACTACAGGAAGGAGATGCCCCACACTTGCTGATGTTAACACATTTATTACATACAGAACAGATATGGTTGGTTGATAGCATAGGGGACAAAGCATGGGAACATATTCATACAGCAGTCTCTTTACAGAATGCCATCTTCAGACCAAAGAGCGGAGTTTACAGGCCTTAAGACACTTTTTAAAATCCTTTTGTAACGTACAAGATACTTTACATACATCACAGTAGAGATATGACAGGGAAGTGTGTTGAAGCCGGTCAATTCTCACCTTGCTGCCCAGCAGCCACCAAACATCTGCAGGAGCTGATAGCAGAGGCTGGTTCTGCTTAGCTGTAGCTGCCCCCTTGGACATGTGCTTATCTTGAAGGAAAACATGCACTGAGCTGGAAAGGGAACCCATTGGTAGATGCCCAAGACTGGTCTCCTTACGTTGCCAGGGCCAAGTGGGTGACAGAAGAAAAATCACTGTCACTGCAACTGCTAAAACCAGATACAGAACAAGCAGTAAGAGGTAAGAGAGTTGATAGAGTTAAGGAACAGGGCCTACTAGGCTTTGGGGTTTTTTTTATCTTTCAATTAGCCCAAATTTTTACATTTACCTGGCCCTAAGTGATGAAGTGTTACACCTCTGTGGTGTGGTCTAAATGTTGACCCTGTTAACACACTCCGTGTTGTGATCCAGAGAGCCCTTCCTAGCAGAAAGCATTTTGGGAAAGTGAACAAGAAGTCTGGCCTGGTCTGCAGTGCCCTGGTGAAATGTCTCTGGTGCAAGGTCCCCCCACAGCCAGGTACTCCAAGTACCCTTTAGACAAAGGCCAGCCACAGCCCCCAGCGCATCAATGGCTGGAGGACCCTGTCCCACTGGTTCCCCACCTTGGGGCAGAGCCATGTGGGTGCGTGTGTCCTCAGCACCACTCACGGGCATCAGGGGCACCACTGCAGCTTCATACCTTGGTGTATGAGGCCTTTGTTCTCCAGAGATGTCCTCTTGCCTCCTTGCCACAGTGTGTGTGTCTTTTTGAACTAAAGATCTAAAAAGCATTTCTGTAGTGCCTCTGCATCAGGACAGATGCTGCATGTCAGAGCTTCCCCTGGGAATTCTGCAGCCCTGCAGCACCCAAGTAGACCGCAAGCCTTGGGGCAGCCTGATCTGTAGCAACAAGCAGAAGACACAGCTGGGAGCTGCCTAGGAGATGAAGGCTCCCCTGAGCTGTCCTCACACAGCCACGCTGGCAGAAGGACATCCCTGTGAATCCCACACTGCTCAGGGGAGAAACAAGATTGACCACCAGGAGCTTCCAAATTCATTGCTAACAACTGCTCCTCGCTCTAGTCCTGCATATCCAGGAGGGAGCATTCAAAGGAAGCAGAACTTGGCCTTGTGGACACAAGACTGTTCCCACTGTCAGAAAGGGAGGACAAACTGCATCTGGAGCTGCCATGTTCTGCATCTGGAGCTCAAAACCACGCTCCCTGGCCCTGTTTTTTAGCTGCTGATCTTGTAAGCAGGACACACACTTTGGAATTCCCCAGCACTGCTTACACAAGCAGGGCCACCAGAATTTCCCTTGGGGGTTGTAAATTCTTTTCAGGAGTCAGAATTTTCCAGCTTTTTTTACTTAGGACAAAGTCAGTGCTCACCAAGCCAGATAAGAGGTTGAGACTCCTCTCCTGAGGCAAGAGACAGCTCCTCCAAACCTTGACTGCACCTACCCAGCCTTTCCTAAATGACAACCACCGTGTGAAAAAAAACAGCCATCTCCTTCCAGCAGCTCCCAGGATAGGGGGACAGCCTTATGAGTCATGATAATCTGAAGGTGTTAATGCAGAATTCACAGCAGATCAGCTTCATCTGCCCTCTCACCTGTATTTTAAAAGTCAACAAATGCTATGTAGAGACAGGTTTCTCCTGACCCTTTCAGAACCAGAGTTCTTTACTGCATGGTATTTTTGGAAGGAGGAGTTAAAACATATTCCTACCTTTTCTGCTCTCAAAAAGTTAAGGTTCCAGTACCTTTTTGCTACCAGTTTCCAAAGGCCCCGTGGCCTCCATGATCAAACACCAATCTCTCAACTGAGGTTACCAAACAATCCTCTCTGGACACTCAGTCACCCAGCACACAACTGCAGAGACAACAGCAGCAGAGGAGGGAGACTTTCCATCTCTAAGTATGGAGGATGTGTTCCCCACAGTAATGGTACTGCTGCCTTCTCCAGCCAAACAGCAGAAGTGCTGCCCAAAACCTGACTTTTTTTTTTTTTTTTTGAGGGTTCTTTGGACCTGGCTGCTCTCAAGTCTGTGGGACATTATTCTGTGCTTAAGGGTGGACAAGGTGGAGAGTCCACTGGTGAACAAGAAAGGATTTCTGCTAGGGTGCTGCAGAAGTTGTGGTTCACCACCACTGCTTTGGTGGGGGACACCAGGGGAACGTACTTCTCATGCAGGTAGGAGTGAGGCAACCTGCTGGAGAACCTGAGCCACCACCCATCCAGCTGCCAGCTCCCAAGCGCTGGGCAAAGGCTTTGCACAGTTCTAGATCCAAGCTTCACTTCGTCGATGCCCTGCCTGCCATTCCTCTCCTTGTAGATGCCAGCTCAAGAGCAGAACAACGATCCAACCACGCAGAAAGCGCATGGGCCCGAGATGAAAGCTGCAAGTTCAGAGGTTAGAAGGGGGTGACAGTCCGAGGCAGGAGCTGTTGCAGTTGCCTGGGGTCGGTTTCCAGCAGCAGGTTTAATGCAGGTGTTCCGTATGTACATCTTGGTGTTCAGGCGGGAGGAGGGACACTTAAAGAGTGGTGGGAATGAAGAAATTCTCACTCAGGGATGTATGACACCTGCCACACAATAATGTGGCTCCTTTCAGCCTTGGAAAGTACTGGCTTCACTGGGGTGGCATCTCCTGCATTCTCCTCTGTCTCATCATCTTCTCCATCCCCTGAAGAGAGAAAACAGAGTAAAAAAGGCAAGAAAGAAAATCCCGTATTGCACTGCTCTGGAATACTTCCAAAGAGGCTAATTTCCCTGCTACAGTCTCAGCAGTCTGACAACACAGCATGAGCTGAGACCTTCCTTCATGCCTGGAGAATATTTATAGCAACATGGTGCTTTTCTGAAGCATGACTGTAGAGATGGAACAAACCATCTCCAACAGCAGGAAAAACCACTCTTCCTTTTGAGGAAGCCAATGTTTATTTACAACACAGGGCCCCCTCCAGCAGCACCATTGACCACAGGTAACAATGTTTGGAGCTAGTAGAACAGGTGGTTTTATTCTTTCCAAGACCATGAATGACTGCCACCTGCCCTCCCAGCCAGAGGCAGGGGAAACAGAGCACAGTGCTTTTCAGCTGTTGCTCCCCGTGCCCTCTGCCCTGCAGCTGCTCCCATCCCAGATGCCTCCCAGGGCAGCACTCACCGATCCGGAAATCGATGTACCCTTCTCCCCCACTCAGCACCAGGACATTCTTCAGCTTCTGCCCCTCAGTCTCTGTGGCTGCTGTGCTGGGGTTCTCCGAAGGGCTGTCCAACACACTCCCATTCAGGGTTGCTAGGACATTGCCTGGGAGAGGATGGAGGAGCTGTCAGTGCCACTGCTCAGCCCCCATGCAGTTCAGACAAACACACAAACACAAACAATTCCTTCTGCTGGTGGAAAAGCGAAGTCACTGCAGTTTAACCTACTGCCACAATGCTCTGCACATGCTGGAAATGGCATGGACAGCTGCCTGCTGAAGATCAGCTCAAGCTCCTGCTGCAGAATGGACACTGGGCCAAGATCCTTCCAAGGAAGGTCTGTGCTCATCCTTACCAGGCACAGAGACGAAGAACTTGACAGCATCACGATGGCCATGGAAACAGAGCTGTGCCTGAGCCATGGAGCAGTAGGGAATGAAACTGCTGGCTGATTTGTCACTGTTGTCATCGCCATACACATGGATCACCCCACCAGAGCGGCTGCCCTCTCCAGAGGTTGGTGAGGTCTTGTTGGCTGGGGACACAGAGAAAGGCATATCATCCATGTTGGCTTTGAGTCACATTTACATAGGGAATAGCTAAGAGAAAACTCATGAACCTTGAAGGAAAACCTTTAAAGTTTTGGGTCTCTTTAAAGGTCTTGTATAAAGGATGTGATGGAGGAAACCACACTAGACTATACAGTCCTTCTCTTTTAAGCTGGTAACAATCCATTCACGATAACAAACTACATTTTTGCATCAAATCTAGTGTTTGGATACCCAAGAGGCACACATCCTTGATGGTGCTGGGCAACAGTGACCCTAGGACAAGCTACACAAGGTCTCTGGGGTGTTCCAGTAAAGGAAATGCTTTTCTTCCACATGCACCACCACCAGTAGAACAGAAACAGCACTAAAATCAGAATTGCTTGCTCAGTTATCTCTAATTCTGTATTTCGACTTGGGCTGTATTTCAATTATGTGACTTGGACAAAGGACACTTTTACCTACCAGGCTCAAGCCAGGACAGCAAAATAAATATAAACATTCTGATGGAAGAATGAGAATCTGTGTGTGCAGGGGAAAGATCCCCCAGATAAAGGCTGTCTGCACCTCTGTGTGCTTGGGTTTGCTGTGAGCAGCTACAACTGGATGAGGTCACCTGATTGACAGACAGGGCTGGCACGAGCACTTCTAGCTCAACATCTGGCTTCTTTCTTACTGCAACCAGTATCAGTTGCTTTAAAAGGAGATATATTTATAAGGTTATGGACAGCTACAGAAATGTCTTACAGTGAGAAAAAAACCACTCCCTTGATTTCCTGAAAAGGCTAAGGCAAGCACAAATTTGAACTCATCCCCTGCCTTAACTGGTACAAACCCAAACAATTCTTAATGTTTTTCAAAGTCCTCCCTGGTTACAATTCTTAGTTGACTACTTTCAGCTGGCATTGGCCGGCAACTGATGAGAGAAGCATCCTTGGAAAACCAAGGATGGCCAAGGAAGACCTTGGAAGAACAGTCTACTACTGCTTCCTGGAACTCTCTGATTAATTGAATCTTTACAGTCCCCAAGTCAAATATGGCTTACCACAATAAGGGAACTACTGATGAAGAATAAAGTACTTCTGACACAAAACAGAAGAGAGGGATGGTTGATGAGATGGATAAAAATGTTTTTAACCTATGGGAAATGAGAATATTTTCATTACTGTCTCTGGTCACTTTTCTCAGATGCAACTTGAAAGAGTGAGGATAAATAGATAGAGAGAGTGGGATGGCAAGATGGAATGGTGGGAAAGTGACTGCGAATGCAAAGGGGTGCAGAAGGAGTGAAAACTGAAGGAAGGAGGGCATGGACTTACCCCGGAGCCCAAGGAGTTGGCCTCGGTGGAGGACTACAGCTAGGCACAGGCAAGGAGTGGGAAAACAGAGGAACACGGGAAGAGACAGGCCGGACAGGAGAGAAGAAAAGGGTGATTACTGGGAGAAAATTCAGGAATCATCAGAAATGTATAAAACCTAAAGAAACTGCAACAGGAGCTACAGCCTCGGATTACTTTACACAGACGCTGTTCTCACTTACTTTGCTCTTCTCTTACGAATGTTGTATCTCAGTTGGCAGAGGGACCATGGTCACAAGGATCCCTTGCTAAAGTTTCTAGTGAGACTTTACTGCTTAAAACATTTCTACAGAAACACCAGAAGATAATTTAACTGGTTTACAGCAGGGAACAAGCTTAACCCAGAGTTAGGACAAGCAGCCCAAGAAAGAATGGCCTTTAAAACAGGGATTCAGAAACGAGACAGAAATTGTGATGCACAAAGATGACTGTGTCACTGGCTTCCTGGCATCAGTCCCAGGCATGCCCAGCTCCACCAGCCTTAGAGAAGAGCATCTCCACCCTGCTTTCCAAGAGGATTACAATAGGTTTGCTCCTCTTATAGCAGAGCCATTTGCTTCTCAGCTTTCCTGCTAGCAGTGGTGAGAAAATGTCCATTTGGCTGCTTTCTCTTGAAAGCAACTGCAAGCAGCCTCAAATCCTACTCCCTCATAATAATCAGGAACACACCTTCAAAATTAGATGCTGATTTACAGGTACAGAACAGGATTTCTAAGATCTTCAACTATACTTCTAGCTCCAGAGATGCACCTATTAATTACTACTGCTGTGTCTCCTCACTAGGTTGGATTTGGTGTAGAATACTGATTTCTACTTGACTGATAAAGCTGAGCCCTAATTTGAGTAAATGAAACTTTGTTAAGGTCACTTTCTGGAAAACGCTGTCATGGAGACATTCAGCCATCTATGCCAAAACTACATTTCCAGGAGATCTTCCTGGTGACATCTCATTCCATGGCCTCCTTTTGGAGACTTAACACCATTCCCAAAGCTTTGTTTCTCCTGCTTTCCAGTAGCTACAGAATCTTTTCACATCAAGTCACACTCAAAAAAGAAGACTGTATAGATTGTAGAGACGTCATTGGTCCCTCAAGAAGGAGATGGTTTCAATGGAACTAAAAGGGACAGTTACAAATACCTGTTTGGTTTTAAATAGGTCAAATTCATTCAACCCAACACTTAATACCTTCAATAAGAAAGTTACACGAATTTCAGGGTTGCTCATACTCAGAGCTCTTCTTCTGAATATTGCTATGACCAAAAGTGTGTCAGGTTCAGGGTGCAAATGTCTGGAAAGCACTAGCCTGCCAGAGCCTGCTGCCACAGGGCACAGAGGCAAAAGCCTTCTTTTTTTAAGGGAGGATGTAGAATTATCTCCAATAAATGTCACTTACTCTCAGTCAATGGAATGGAGATGACGACACCGTTCCCTGTCCCTACCCAGAGGCGGTTGCCAGCAATGAGCAGAGCTGTAATCCTCACAAAGGAGAAGCCCAGCTTTCCAGTGCCTAGGAAGCATGCAGAAGAGTTGGAGAGTCAGTCATGACCTTGGGCAAGGCCTAATAACACATTTTGATATGGCTCTGATCTCAGGAAGCAATAGACTATTATTTACTGACAGTCCCTACTGCCTCACCTAGCATCTTGCTGACATAAGGCTCAATGTCGACATCTTGCAGATGTTGGTGGCTGTGGGCATGGTAGAGCCTCAGAGTGGAGTCCAGGCGGATGGAAACCCACACTCCATCTCCAATCCATGCCAGCTGTCGCACCTGACTCTCCCGCCGAGGGTGGGCATCAAAGGATTTCTGAAATGCCAAATGGGTGGACCAATGTGAGCTCACAAAAGGTTTGCAATTATCTACACACATACTCCATCTTCCTCAACTGAAAGCACTTGCTTGGGTTTCAAAGCTCTTGGAGAAAACGTGTTAATGCCTGCTGGCCTCAGAACTACAGTACACAGAAAACCCCTCACTTGACATGATGAGTTGTAGAGCAGCTCTGCAGAGATTATTGCCTCTGCAGACCACTTCAGGAGCAAGAGCATTTAGAAACCAAGAGCTTTCACTGTGATCAGTGGAACAGAAAATGCACAACTCCAGTGTAAATTCCAAGGACCAAGTTGCCTTGGCTTGCTGATGGGAAGTTCAAATTCAGCCATCCTCCCTTTGGTTAAAATTATTCCAAGCACTGTCAAATAATTTTGTACTGACACATCTGCACTGGATTTCCACCAAAAGGCTCTAAATGTAATTTTTTCTTAGGTAAGTGGGATTACTGAGGCTTCCTTACTATATTCTTCCTTGATGCCACAATGACCACAGACAGAGCAGTCTTTGACCACATGTGAAGGGAAGCTATAAAGCACACACAGAGATTTGTACAGTACATGGCCTCATAGACTCACTAGTAAACGCAAAGGAAGTACTCAGCTTAGACTTCTATGAAGATTTAAGGTCTGTAAAGGGAAGAAGGAATAAATACCCCCTGGCCAACCAGGTCACAACATGACCCAGATTGACAGTTGGGTCCTCTCATCAGCAACAACAAATGGCTTTGCATTTCCATGCAGCATAAAACAGCTACTAAGAATAAACTCAACACAAGTGTCTGCACACGCACACACACTTGCTCTTACCTCAATCTGCATTGTCTTAGGTTGTATAACATGGATTTTGTTCTTGTAGCCACACCAGACTCTATCATACACAACAGCCATGCAGCGGATGGAATGGTGAGTGTGCCCAAGGTCCATTAGGTGGTAATTACTGAGATCCCACTGACCATCTAAGGTGAAAAACAAGTGTGAAAAGATGCAGTTCCTTCATGACATGTCAGTATACAACAGAATCATCTACCTTCCATGTACATCTAGGCATACAGGTTTGGCTAACACTCAAATGTTTATTTTGCTTATGTCTGTGAACTTCCCATGAATCCATACTAGTATTTTGGGCAAAGCCTTCTCCTTCAAAACACATGAACAAGAAGTTCAGTTTGGTGGGCTGAAAGCTCTCCAAATCTGGCTAATTTAAACTTCCTGAAGCCTAACAAGGCTATGCAAAACTTTAAAGGAAATGTACTATACAGTCCTTGAGGTGAAGCTTCCTTATATCACAGATGGACAACAGTGTCAAATTGAGGATAAGGAATCAATCTCCCTTCTCTCATGCTTGTTCTCTACCTAACCAGGGAAATGCAATGTCCTGCACAGACAGGAGGCCTCTATGTCATGAAGCTTTATCCTATTTCTGATCGGAACAATTTTTATGTGACAATGATCAGACTTGAACTCATGACAAAGGCTGAATCAAAATTCAGGTTGCACAAATCCAGAAATCTCTGTATTTCAGCTTGTTGGAGAAAATGCTACTCAATAACTAAGCTCTTAATATGCAAACATTAGTTATAGTCAGCAAATTCCCATGTGTCAGGCGTGAATGCAGGTGAGAAACTGTTCAAGTCACAGGGAAACAAAACCTACAACAGCAAAGAGGACAAGAAATAAAGAGTTCAGAAAACATCTTGAAGTGACAAGATTAAGGCATATCAAGAGTACTCAAATATCTCTCTTTTGCAACAAGAAAAACTGACCAAGTGTAATCCAAAGGGTCCATCTGTTTGGGCCTTACAGAGAATCCCTGCTTTTCCTGCTGTGTGTGCAGTGAGCAATTCCATAGTCCAGCCTCTCTGAGAAGCAGCAAGTCCATTTGCAACTGTTCAGATACAGTCTCCCTGAGCTGTGCAGAGCTCCCTTTGCATTCCCTGCTACTACTATTTTGCGAGTGCACAGAACACCAATATGGCCCAAATGCATCACACCAAACAAGCACATCTCAAACAACTGCACAGCAGGTGTATTCCTGGACGTGTTGTGTTCACTTTGCATGTGCTCCACAGACACACGTTTTTGTTCAGAAAAGCTCAAGAAATGGTGTTCAAGTATGTCTTGGATGTTTCAGGATATGGATTACATGTGTATAATGCTATGTATTTTAACCCTGTGTGTACTATGGCCAGTCAGCATTTAATCAATTGCTATGGTTTCAGCCAAGTTAGGTTTTCTTCTATTCCATGGATTCTCACCTTCTCCCCGATGGAATATGGCTAATGTTCCATCTGCCAGAGCAACAAGGACTCTCCCTTTCACATGCCTGAAATCACAGAAAAGTAAATAGTTCCAAAAATTTGTAGAAGTGACTAATAAATCCTTTCTGATTTCCACACACACTCATTTTATGTTCCCTCTACACCTCCCCTTTAGTTCAGCACTTTCAGGAACACCCTACAAGGGCTGAAGGTCATACCACCTACCTTTGTTGTATTAAGATCATCCATAAACTTCATGTCAAGGTTAACTTTTCCTTCACGCTATAAAACCCATCAATTTCAACAAATTTCACCTAGTTTACACCCCAATGAAATTTTGCCTTTCTCCTCCCCATTTATTTCCTCCAGATACTGCTAATTAGTATTTTATTCACTGAATTGGGTCGGGTCTGCAAATGAGCAGAAAAATGGTTTTCCAACAACAAAAACCCTGGGAAAATTTCCTCACAAACCAAAGCACTTAGAAGAGTAGAGAAAAAAGATGACTGACAAGGAGCTGCTACCACACAGCAGTGTGCCCTGGTGGCCAAGAAGGCCAACACAATCCTGGCATGCATCAGGAACAGTGTGATCAGCAGGACCAGGGAGGTGATCCTGCCCCTCTACTCAGCCTTGGTGAGGCTGCACCTTGAGCCCTGTGAGCAGTTTTGGGCACCGCAGGATAGGAAGGACATTGAGGGGCTGGAAAGGGTGCAGAGAAGGGCAACCAGGCTGATGAGGGGTCTGGAGAACAGGTCTGATGAGGAGAGGCTGAGGGAGCTGCGGCTGTTCAGCCTGGAGAAGAAGAGGCTGAGGGGAGACCTCACTGCTCTCTAAAACTGCCTGAGAGGAGGTTGTGGTGAGGTGGGTGTTGGGCTCTTCTCCCAGGTGACCAGCAATAGGACAAGAGAAAATGGGGTCAAGTTGCACCAGGGGAGGGTCAGATTGGATATTAGGAAAAATTTTTCCCACAAAGAGTGGTGAGGCCTTGGAAGGAGGTGGTGGCAGCACTGTCCCTGGAGGTGTTAAAAAAACATGTAGATGTGATGTTTCAGGAGATGGTTTAGTGGTTGGGGGTTGTAGGGTGGATGGTTGGGCTTGATAATTGGTCTTTTCCAACCTTGCTTATTCTGTAATTCTATCTGAAATATCTCTAGACACTGAGCCTTCTCATTCAGTGACCATTAGCATGCACACTTACACTAGACTCAGGACAGAGTCCTTCAGCTTTATTGAGTGCAGACACTTCTTCCAGTTGGATACAGCCGAGTGCACATAAAGCCTGTGAGAAAGGACAAGCCAAGGGTTAGCAGCAAGGCCCCACACCTCCAGGCTTGAGTGTTTTCTTCTGTTAGGGAAGGGGGAGGTTAGGTAAGAAAGTGAGGTTAAACCCCTGTGTCCATGATGAGCTGGGGGCTCAGAACTACAACAAGCAAAGAAAATTACTCCAGAAACAAGACATGAATGAAAGGTGTGTGGACATGACAAAAGGAGCCCAGAAGAGAAGGGAGGTGCTGGCCCAAGGGAAACCTACCAGCCATTCTGCGCTCCCAGCCACATGGTGGGGGCAGCACTGGTGCAAGTCCCAGCAGCATCCCCATGCAGTTCCTGATCTGGCAGTGCTGTGCTTGACTCCATCTTCAGCTGCCCATGCTCCCTGGAGAGGCAGAAGGACAACATTAGAGGCTTTTACAAGGCACACAACGTCTCATCTAGGCTCCCAGTCTGGCATTCACCAGCAGGCAAAGGCAGCTGTTATCCAAAAACAGCTTCTCTCTCCTCAGTGGTTTTAACTGTTTGATTCCTGAGCCTGAAATTTGCAAAACTTCCTTTATTTTCCCTGCCAGTGCAAACAGACAGTACTTCAAATTCATGGAATCTAACTTCACTTGGTGTTTGGCAGTACTATTACAAAAGCAGTATTTTCTCTGTTCATTTCCAATTTAAACAACTTACAACTTGGTCATTTATGAACAATTTCTGTCAAAAACTTCCACTTTGCACCTCAAACCATCACATCAGACTCATTTATCTTAACAATTTTGGAGTGGTGAATACACTTTCCTCATTACCTTTGTAGCACTTTAGAGATATTTCGAGAATAAATCAATCACCATTTTTACAAAATTTTAATGTTTTCCAGGGAAAACATCAAGTGCACAAGTACTTTGGAAGATCTGTCTGAACACGTCATAACCAGAGATCGAATATTCACACTTAAACAGATGATACCGTCTGCTGCAGGCTGAACCACGTTTATTTTTATTTCATTTCTTTCTCTCCCTATCATCCCATCTGTAATACCATTTGGGCACAAAACCGAAAAAGGTTTATCAGAAGATCAGGCTATTTCTCATATCAAAAAGCTTATGAAAACAGAGCTGATAATAAGTGAACTGGCACTTTCGCCCCAGACTGCCTACCCGTTCTGCCTCAGAGGTGCCTGTGCATGGACTGGATCTGTAAAGACGTGCTCTGTGAGGGGCCCAGACCGGGCCTCAGAAGGTTCTGCCTCACTTGGACCAGTCTCTGGTACCTCCGTAGCTTCTGTTGCCTCCTCAGTAGATTGGGACTGGTTCATCTTCCCATTGCAGACAGCAGCCACTTCACCTAGAAGACCAAGAATAGTGTGAGATCTACTGGAGAATGAGCTGGTAAGCTATCCATGAAGAAATCACAGAATCATAGAAAGTTTTGGGTTGGAAGGCACTTTAAAGATCATCTAGATCCAACCCCCCTGCATGGGCAGGGACACCTCCCACTAGACCAGGTTGCTCAGAGCCCCAATCCACCTGCCCTTGAACACTTCCAGGGATGGGGCAGCCACAGCTTCCCTGGGCAACCTGTTCCATTGTCTCACCACCCTCATAGTAAAGAATTTCATCCTAATGTCTAATCTAAATCAGGCTATTTTTAAATTTATCCTTCCTTGACAAAGTCAGTCGAGCCCCGAGCCTTCACTGCAGACAGCAACTCATCTTGTGTTCTCTTCCTGGATGGGGAACAGAGGCTTATTTTAAAGTGAGGCACAATCTGTGACAAGGAAAACATCTGAAGTCCTCCGGGGCTGCCCACTGTGCTATGGGGTCAGCAAGGGCATCATTATTATTTTCCTATGGGCTTAACTGACTTGACAAGATTACATGGTTCAGAGGAGAAAGCAATGAGAACAGAAGCAATAGTAGCAGGGCAAACACATCACCTGTCCAAAATACTCTCGTACATGACCCTTGGAACCAGGCTGCAGGATATGGATCACTTCAGAGAGAAGAGGGCTGTAAAAAGCAACGTACCCAAAAAGGCCCTTGGTCTTCTTGTACCACATCAAGAAACTGCTTGAGGCCTCTTAAGTAATTAAGTTAGGAACAGAAGGATGCAGCTGTAAGACTGGAGGCTCATGTGGGACTGGCTGTAATTGGACTGCCATTGAGTTTTAAGTCCCAAAACTTACTCTGTCCCTTGTCCAGTACAGGTGTGTCACCACGTGAGGAACAGTTGCTTCGTGGCACATTGCAGCGGGTCGCACAGCCCACCAGAGTGATTCCTGCCAAGACACCATCTGTTCCAGATGACTCTTCAGGATTCACGTCTCCCTCCAAAAAGATCTCCCCTGGAGGATAATCACTCTCACTGGCCGCTGAAGGGCAAAGAACAGATTATCCCATAAATCCAGCTGTCACTGCTAATGAAATGGGACGAAAGATGCTGACTCTCAGGGCCTGATACCCTGGGGAAGCACCACAGCAAACCCCCTTATCCCCAGCATTAACAGCCAGGGCAGCTACAGAGCCCTCCTGAACCTGAGCAGACTGTCTTGTTCCCAAGAACCATCCTTTACACAACAAAGGAACAAGCTAGTAAATGTTCAACAGCAAAGGACCTCCATGGAAAGGTCCTACAAGGCAGCAAGATCTGAATTATGGTTTTGAGGACAACTACAGAATGCAGTGGGGTCCAAGGGTTGTCTCTGAAATGAGGACACTACTTTTGTCACTCATAAGCGGAGCAGGTGACCCTGTGCAGATCACAGCCAGTGCTTAGGCCCCACTTACCAGGGATGCTGGAGATACAGAGGACATGAGCATTGCAGACAGTGAACTGGTCGACCACTGTGCCAGGCTGATTGGCATCAATAATTACTACTTTACTTGTTGATAGTGTACTAGTGAGGATCCAGACACGACTGGATGTGGCATCCATTTCATGGAGCTCCTTGGCCTTCAAGAGAGCAAACACATGGACAGCATCAGTGCCCCTCTCAGACCAGACTGAGTGTTATCAGGGCTTGGCAACATTTACACATGCAAATACCACACTGCTGCCTCCAAAGAGCCACATCTCTTCCTAGCTGATGCAAATAAACAATATGAGCTGTGCACATTTCATCCACATTGCCACACCGGTATCTGGAACACTGACCAAAGAGCCTGTCTGGCTCCTTAGGGCACAAGGAGCTTGGCCATTAATTTCTCTTCTGAGTTGTCTGACTAATCAATCACTCAACATTCACTTCAGACAGGATGCCAGGGAGCTGGGGTGCACCACCAGCTTAAGCAAGCTGATCTCAGAAGACTACAGAGCAGCAGTGTAGGACAGCTGTGGAAAACAAAACCCAAAAACCAGAAAGAAGAAAATGTTGTATTATTTTCTGCAAATTACAGCTTGTTTCTTAGGAAAAAAAAAAGAGCTGGAAAAAATTTCAGGAGCTTAAAATTCTGAACCAAATGGACTCATGGACTCTGCAATGTCTATGTTCTTTTTCCTTTTCAACAAAGCTTTGCCTGAATTTATTTATTATTTCTTTAATCTACAGTACTGAGGACTCCATGATCTTCCTAACAACTTCATCAAGCACTTAATTACCCTTAATACTAGGAATTCTTTTTTCAAAATTCTAAGCATTTTAAAATGCAGAGGTTGGAAAACTTTATCCTTAAAGATTCAACCCAAATCACACAGAAAGTTACTGAACATCCCAACCCTGCCCCACAAGATGATGCCTCAGAAGTAAAAGTGAGAGCCCTGCACAGCACAGTACAAAGCTACTGAAAGAGGGGGCATGTCAGAGATCAATGACAAAAAACACCAGAGAGGAGAAAAAAAATATCCATTTTCTTTTCCAACCTTTTTCTTCTCAGGAGATGTATGGTTACTCTTGTTGTTCTCGCCTTCAGCGTCCCTATCACAGGTGAGGGGATCACGTCCAGGATCCAGTTTCTGTCCACTCCCAGGCTCCTGCTCCAAAGGTCTCCACCCAGTGAGATTGACTCCAGCGGCACACCACAGCTAAGTAACAGACAGGGGAATCTTAAACTAAGACATAATCGACAAGACATAGGCAGATTTGATGGAAGTAAGATTAAGGTTCTCTGTAACCTAGCAAAAATCACTGCTTTTTTAGAGATGTGACTAAATAAATAAAGATAATGAATCAGATTCATCAATTAAAACAGGCTTCTAAAATGTTCTCGTATTTTTCTGACTCTGGGGTTTCTAAGTCACTGTAGCAGAACAAGCAGGACATGGCAGATATTACTAGCTTGGGGTACAAGCAGCATGGGCACCTAACAATGACAGGGATTGCTCAGCTGAGGGCACATTCAGTGCACCTCTGTTCCCTAGCCCCCCTCCTTGCACTCTTCTGCTTCCTCACACACCCCCTTTGCCTAAAAATCAATGTTGGCCTGACCTTAGAGAGCTGTTTACAGAACTATTAAAAAGCAAAAAATGAAATAAAATTTTTAAAAGGAAAAAAAAATACCTGCTGGTTTAGCTGCCTACATAACACATGTAGAGTGAAAGGACACCACATATTTTCTGAAATCAAACTTAGCTAACCTCCTATGAGCTACTTCCAGATAGTTTTTTAGAAGAATGCTCAGAATAAGGCTACAGAAATACATACCAGATTTATTCAAATCATAAAGGAAAGATGCTGAACAGAGTATTATCAAAAGTTCACACTAATCTTCTCAAAACAACTAACAGCATAATAATGATCTTACATCATCAGAGTGACATCTAAAAATCAGCTCCAAATGAAGTTAATGACAAACTGCCTATTTCAAAACAACTGGCTACAGCTACTGCAGAGAGATGACCACCTATTCTCAACTGCATTTCTATTGAAAATATTCTAGCACTGACAGACACAGCTTCCCAAAATCTGCTGTCACCAGTGAAGCCTGATCAACAGCAGAATCTAAAACAGAATGATGAAATGCGTTTTTACTTTCACATTGTTTTCATGAACTTGGAGTTTTGTAGTATATCTTTAACAGTCTTAGCAATAGCCTTATAAACACCAAATGTTGCTGATACTATACAAGAGTTGTCTCAAAAAAGCGTAAGATCTAAGACCTGGCAACAAGAACCTGTGGAGAATTCTGTCCTTACAGAGAAGAGCTTCATACCTCTCTTTTCCTTACATTTTAGAAACTACCAAGTAAGGAAGCAGAAGGTAGAATTTGGAATACATAATGTAAAAAAAACCAAACCAACACAAAAAAACCCCAGACTGTTGTAAAAATTGCATGTTTAGCCACCAAAATAATTTGCTTTTTCCATGTCCCCTTTCTGGACTGGAATGGTATGCAGAGATAACGTACCTTCATGGTTGGGTCCTTCTCTACTAGTGGGCGACAATAGACAGGCACAGGGACATTCTTCATGCGGTTGTCCTCCTGACCACCATTGGGACTCAGCTGTGGGGGAAGAGAGACAAAAAAGACAGTATACAGCTGTACACACCAGGTTCAGTTTAGAAAGATGGTAGAATTTAACTTTCTAGCCTCAACAATGGGTGCTGCTGAGGCTTCATCTCACAACTGGTTTAAATAGAGTACCTACAGGGGGGGGAGCTGCCTATCAGAGAGACTGCCTCTCTCACCAGGCTACAGTGCCCTGGTTATGGTCAACAGAGGCCACATACTGCACTGCTGATGGAGAAAGGGAGGCTCCCTGCAAAGATGTCAGAACACTGGTGTTCCCTTCCACTCATCCACTTTCCAGCCACACTGCAAGACTCCTTCCTTTCAGGTGGTCTTTGACCAATCAAATGCGTTGAAAAATGAGGCTGATGACATTTGATTTTGTGTTACTGCTGGGCAGAAGTAGGAGCAAACTGCACTGCATGTGGTTTTTCATTGGTAAAGTTCTCAGAGTATAAATGAAATATATAATGTTTGTGCCCAATTCTAACAAAGGAAAGAAAACCAAATACTGGGCTTTGGACAAAGAAATTGAATTATTTTTGGTTTAGGGAAGGTTCTTTCAGCACCTTCATGCAGAGGGATGCCCCCTCCACTGAGTCTGGTAGAGACACAGGAAAACTGAATTTCCCTGCACTTACCATACAAATAACGCACCAAGATCTCAGGCTAAGGTTACCAGTAGAAGAGTCCCTGGTTTCACTATGAGGGAGGATGTCCCCCCAGCCTGGGTGGAGCACAGTCCCTACCTGCTTGTACTTGGCAGGGAGGCTCCAGCCACAGGCCTGCAGGCGCCCGTCGTCATTCCGCACATGCTCTCGGACCTGGCGGTACTGCTCCCGCTTCTGCTCACGGCGTGCTGAGGAGGTGCAGTCACTGGGGAGAGAAGCAGCACACTTATCTCTCAGCCCGGGGCTAAGACACAGGCTGAAGATTCAGGGAGTGTCACCACAGCAGGGGCAGGAAACCCCAAACCAACCAAATTCATTTTACAAACAGATGCAGGAGAGCAGAGAGAAAAACTCCCTGAGAGAAGAGCAGACCGAGGCTTACTAACCTCTAACTCCCTGTCACCTGAGCAATGTGGCAGGCCCAATAATTGTCATCTCCACTTCAGTGCTCTGAGAGCCCTGCAGAAACAGGGCATCAGCCTTCCTTCCATAAGACCTGTGAGCCATTACACCAATTTTTGCTTAGCTGTTAGAATGAATCAGTCTTACGGCTCCAACAGGAAGGCATTTTGAGTTCTTCCCTTCTTCATTATAGAAAACTATTTATTCTTATGTCCATTTTAAAGCCTTCTCTGCTGACAAGGAAAATGTGCACTAACTGCTGTTGAAACTGCTGGTTCCAAGAGAACAACTCCAGCTTTGCACTGGCAAAGGTTAAAAGAAAAATTGATCTGTGAGGTCTTGAGATATATTTTAATATAAACAAAGGCTGTTTAGATATCAGCTCCAGCTCTCAATAGGTTTTTAAAGTAACCTTCTAAGGTACAAACAACATCAGCAAAAAAAATCCCATCCACAACAAACCCCCCTCCACACACACAACACACACACACACACACACAATGATATACACACTTAAAATAAAAACAACCTCCTGCCAAAACAAAACATTT